GCGGGTGCTGTGCCGAAAGTTTGTGCTCACGAGAAAGAGACGAGCATCCTCACACAGCTGTAGAAATCGCTCACGGTTATCATTACGGGAGCCTACACCATGTTGGCCGCCCAGATGAAGCTCATCAGAGTACAATTTTCTGACTTGGGCGTTTAGATCGCCAGCCGACACCACAGTATCCGTGTTTCTTCTGTAACAGAGGAGCTCGTGAAGTTGCTGATAGAAATCACATTTTACCGAAACAGTGCTACAGGTTGTAGGGGTGTAAGCCGCAATGACAAACAGGCACCGTTTGTCCCCGTGCGACTTCGTAGCACAGAACGAACCAGCTAATCTAACGGCGCACATCCTACTGTTTACTGGGATCCAATCAAGCAGGGCAGCTTCAGCCCGGGGACTCAAAACAATGCCGACGCCAACTTGACCCGCATTTGAAGCTGCATCATCGCCAGACAGGTGCAGTGAGAATGTGCCGCCAGTGTTACATGTGGGGGATCGTAGGGTAACCCCGGAGCTCGAACCTTACAGGCGGGTTTCTGATAAACAGCAAATATCGATCGATAGGGTCTCTAGTGTGCGGGCAAGTGCTGCCTGTTGGCCAATCCGTAGCAAAGTGCGCACATTGAGGCATGCCAGTCTTAGCGAGATGCGAGGACTCCAAAGGTAGACGGATGTGCTGTCGTTGCCTGCATGGCTGAACATGGACTTGTCGACTGGATTGGAGCGATGCCTTGCGACTGTGTGTGATTTGAAACTAGAAGACAAGCGACTATTGAAGCGAGGTGGGGGAGGGCCAAGATTTGGGGATTGAAAATGGAAGGGGGATAAGAGTAAAGTTGGAGCGGGACGATAATGATGAAAATGCGCAAGAAGGGGGATAAAAAGACGGGAAGGCCTGAGCAGTAGTATCCATACCCCTAACAACCCTACTCGATGCAGCAGATAGGGCGCCTATGATTATCCTATGCGACGGCTAGAGCATCAAGAAATTGTTAGAAGAAAGGTTCACGGAATTGCGTGAGCGAAATACTGTCCGGCTGTCGAGGCCTAGACCGGAGAACGCTTAGAAATCCCAACCAAAGTTAAGGTCCAGTCCCTTCGCCGTGGACAGCCCCTTCGCGATGGACAAAGCACTGGCTTAATACCATTAATGGTAATAGCCTCAGCAAACCGGAGGAGTCGGGAATTGGTATGGCGAAGCAGCATCCTAAACGCCTTGTTGACCTCAATTCGGTGACCCGATGTCAATAAGTGTCTGCCGATCGAAGATGCCAGCGGCCTGCGCACACACGTAGTCTGATTTGGGTTTGCCTGTTGAATAATCGCGCATTTAACCCATTTTGTTACATGCTCTTTTATTCGGACATTCAGTTTTCTATTGGTTCTGCCTATGTAACTATCTCCGCAGTTACATACGAATTGATATACGCAGTAGCAGTTGGCCCCAATAGGCCGTTTCCTTTAGTGGATGCAACGGTAGCTTATGAGTTCGGTCGGTGTTTACAACTTCGGCAGCACAGAAAGTGCTCTGTGTGGCGGAAGCCAGACGTCTTGTCCTCAAAGAAGCAATGTCACCCTTAAAGGGCAGCACTAAGAGGACCATTTTCTTAGGTACAGTAGGTACAACAACTTTCATTTCACGGATGTGGCTATGTTTCCGGATAAATTTTCGAGGGTGGCCATTAGCAATTGGCGTGTTGATACTTAGTTCTAGTTCATCGGCTAGACAAGCGGTCGAGCATATCCGTCTGGCGCGGATAAACAGGGTCTTAATAAGCGTTCGCTTGGGCCACATTGGCGTAAAGCGCGTAAAATGAAGATACTGTTCCGACCACGTTTTTCGGTAAACAGGCCTTTATACCAGTCCATACTCCCTGCGGTGTTACATAAGCAGAACCAATAGAAAACTGACAGACATCGGGTCACCGAATTGAGATCAACAAGGCGCTTAGGATCCTGCTTCGCCATACCAATTCCCGGCTCCTCCGGTTTGCTGAGGCTATTGCCATTAAGCGGATTAAGCCAGTGGTTTGTGTGCAAAAATAACTATCGGTCAACCTCAGGCTGCCCTGGTTGTAGAAGAAAGATTCCCGCTTTTTCTCTCGTTTATATGTCGGTACCCACAAAATGTTGTATAAAATTACCGGTTATTGTTATCGGCACTGATGAGACGACAGGAAATGCATGCATCTGCCTGATTTTATCTTCTAATTGTGTTTTTAAGTTACAGCATTGTCAGGAAGTAAATAAGGCTATTTAACTCACCCATTCATTTTGACTCATAACTGTACCACTTACTGACTTAAGCTTTCGTTCACTCCTCTTTAATTGTTAGTGTTATTGTTGCTGGAACCACCGAACCTCAGTGCACGGGTGGATCGCACTGAAAGCGTAACTAGTAATTGTGTCATCATTTAGGTTACGATGAAGTGCCTAAAATGAATTTAACTGCCGAAAGTCCTATCGTGGTCTGTCTAGGAAGCATTCAGCAACTGATATCTGGTGTATATCTCAATGTTTGAGGCTTCAGTAGACCCAGATAGAAAAAATACCAGATGATACGTCGATATAAAGGAAAGTGAGTTATTGCTTTCAAGGTGTGAGCAAAAGGTGGGACTAAATAACAGAGAGGAGGATGAGGCGCAATCATGCCATATTAAGGTCAAAATGGACCGATTCGGTACAACTAACTGCTAACATTTCGTGTAGCCTCAAATCTGGTTCCCAACGGCTTCATTCTGTCCGCGGCTTTTCGGTCGTGCATTGTCAGATTTTCTATCCATTGTTTCTACCTTCATTTATATTTGGCTGGCCAAGGTTTAAGGGGTACAATGAAAATACTCAAAAATCTGAAACCGTTGCGAGTAAATAAAATAATAAATCGTCAGCTGTACGTCGAAACGGCAATTCGCTGCCGCGCATAGGCTGAGTGTACCGCGAAGACACCCGCCACTACGCGGATTCGAGCCGGCGGCCTTATGATTGCAAGCCAGGCGTGCAGAACACTCGGCCACCGGCCGACGTTGCGATTAAAAACCAGACGTATTTCGTCCCATTTGGGCTCGTCAGCGGTGCGTATTCCCTCGGTCCCTACTGGGCATCGAACCTATGACCGCTCGAGGCTGACTCCAACTAGCCAACAGCTTAAGGCACTGTGTCATAGGGGACGGCAGCAACTGAAATCCTCCTACTCATAAGCGAGATGTAATTTGCATCTGGGCAGCATCTCGCAAGGAACTGGATGCCGTTGTCACAGCTGCTAATAAGGGATCGATACTAAACTGAGTGGATAGTGAGAACATGCATGGAAAAGGACTTGTCTTACAGTACCGCAACGCAACCGAAACAGGAAACCAACCAAGGCCCTCTAACGGAGGTCAAGTTCAGGCGGGGTTAAAACGATAAGAGAATTCCGTGAGTGCTCCCTCCTGAGTGCGTCGTTGAGCCAGAAATAGGCGAAGTGCTCTGTCATCAGTAGTACGCCGGTACGCAATACCGGCGCTTCTCTGCCGCGTAACAACCACTAGTCGCAAGTGAGCTAGGGATATTGCGAAGGTCGCTCGATCCGTACGAAAGCTAGAACCCGGGCCCTCGGATTACAAAGCAGCGTTATGATCATTAAGGCCACTGGCCAGCTCTGAGATCTTGATGGATCTAAAAGGAAACATCGGAGTGACACCATATCGAACCAATTACTATCCTTTCCTGCACTAGCAGTCCACACTGCGGCAGTCACCTGAAGTAAGCATGGAGGGGTAAGAAGAAAAATCGTAGATACAGAATAAGGAAGACCACTGGAAAAAATAATACAAATGCATGAGGAAAAGTACAGAAAAGAAAAGCGAAGTATGTGGATGGAAGTTAGGAAAAGCGCCAAGTTGACACTTAAGCCCCTTAACCGTAGATCCTCTGATAAATATTTCTGGAGGCAAGTTTCAGCGTTAAAAAATTCGGCTTAACAGCCGCGTTTTCGCTCTATTCCAATCGGACACCAGTTTGGTTAGCATCATGGAATGCGGGACCGAAAAACCAAGACAAATCCGGGCCAACCTTCCCAGGTAAATACAGCAGGCCAGGATTAGGTCTCCCAGCCTACGGTAATGAATTCCTAGAATAAGTAGACGCTCAGGGTACGTTTTTTACGTAACCCCTCAACCAACTTAGTACTCACCCGTAAAACCCTTTCCAGCCCCGTTTCTTCCCGGAGGAAGTAGGGTGGACTAGCCTAGACTCAATATTCCAAATGGAGCCAAATGAAGGCTGAGAACAGTCTCACAAAGATGTCGCTAGTCAAGATTCCGAAGAAATAGCGTTTTAACCACAACTTACGGGACCCTCTATTTTCGGCCTTTTTCCAGTTGTCGCCCAAGTGTAAAGTTGAAGAGTGTACGACGCCTAGATCAACCTGGTTGGCTGGGGAGTCCGACCCCACCAAATAAGCACATCGAGGGGAGACAACCTCCGCTAGTTCGAAGTAAAGAGCACTTTGCCTCCGCCCATAGGTGGCCGATAAGTAGACCAGTTCCAAGGCACGCTGAATAGTCCCAAGATCCTCAGGAACATCGAAAACACCAGCTTCAGATCATCAGCAAATAATAGCGATAGCACATCAAGCTCCGCAGGTAGGCTGTTCACATAGGTAGAGAACAGCAGCAGTCCAAGGACGGAGCTTTGCGGTACACCAGTGGACTCCCTCAACGATAGGCTGCGGCCCGCACGTAGATGCAGTTCTCTACCACATGAGAATAGTCATCCAGTTAAGAGCACGATCACCGTAAGAACCTAGCTTTTGCGCAAGCCTCAAATGGGGTGTGGTGGGAAATGCCATCGAGAAGTTGATGAAAAGCACGTCCAATACGTAGTTCAACCTTTTGGCTTATTACAATTACGCGTGCTGGCCTGCTACATAGTTGGGAGTGTCTACCACATCATAATGCAAACAGAATTCAAACAAACGGGGAGAGGTGTCGCAACTAGCCAGAAATGACCAAGACACTCACCAATGTTTTCCTGTTCCTTACAGGATATGGAATAACAGCAGACCTCACGATCCGTAATAGCTCCAAGATTTAAACAAGATATGAGTTCGTGTTCAGCAAGGGCATTTGGCAAATCCTTTTTGTTGCCCAGAACCAAAACAGGTATCCCAACCAGTTGTGGTTTATCCAGCAAGCTATGCAACTCATTTCGAGAGGCATCCAACTTCTCGTGATCAGCGGCGTCAACCATATATCTGAACTCGGTTATAAAGACAACTCAGACACACATTATAGCATTCACTCCACGACAGTACCGTTCCCACATGCTCCGAAATCGGGGTTGACCTCCTATGTCCCAAAGCTTAAAACAAGTCTACACAGAACAGCACCTGGTTACTTTGATGGTCACATTTCCTTTAGTGACTTTCCTTAAATTAAATCCAACAGTTGGAATCATGTCTTCTATGAACTGCCCAGACTAACCGGAATGAACATCAGGAATAGCGCAGACGTACAGCAATCACATTCACAAAGGTCGTTTTTCCAGAGTATTGAAGACCCACTAACGTCAGTTCCATTTCTTCCTTCCAAAACAAACTTTTAATCCAATCCAAAATGCGCTGAAAAAACGCCAGCATGACTGGCAAACTCCGAGAGCGTCTGAGTGATCGAAAACAGCTGATCGTAATTTGGGGGCGGTACTGTTTTCTGTACCGCTACTAAGGAGGAATGTTTTGAAATACGTTGTTAAGATTGCTAAGTATTTAGGGTATGTATATTGAGTTAGGAGAACTGAAAATCGTGGTACGTTATTTTACGATGTATAGGTGGGTGTTTGTTTTAGTGCGCGTGTTTCGGTTGCGCTGCAATGGCTGTGGGTGATACGGTGCCGTTCCGCTCTACTTTTCGCCGAGGTTATAAGGCATTTGGTGAATTTGAGAAAGATTTGAAGCGGTTTCGATTTCAACCGGCGACAATTTTCTAAAAATATGACGTTTTGACCACTGTGAGTACCACGCGGTAACTTCTCTTTCTGACGTGCTATACTTTCGAGCCTTTTAGGTGAAATTCTCGTGAAGAAAAGTGTTTGAATAGACACTTTTGACGAAATTTGACTATAGTCAAATTTTCTTTTGGAAGATATGACATCCGTGTGCGTGGACTGTGGGATGGGTGTCACCTCACGTTCAAAGGCCGTCCAATGCGCACTGTGCGACAGATGGATGCATATAGTCTGATGTTTACCAATGTCTTCAGCGCACTACCTCTAAAGGCATCAACTTCACTGCGATTCGTGTCTAACATTGGTCAGCGACAAGCAACTTCTGATGAACCCTTTCAACGTACGTACTGCTTCCGCGCAAGCCGTCTCTAACTCTGACAGCGAGACACCTATCGCTGCAGTGTGTCTGCCGTCGTCTGGGTATTCTACACCGAAAGGGAAAGGAAGCCGCGCGTCGTCCACCACGCTGAACTTAACACCATTGCCCATTGAGAACGGGAATGGACTTATGCATAAGCCCAAGTCCTATGCCGCAGTCGCGAGCGTTAGCACCTCGGCAAAATTATGTCTGGGTCATCTATCGAACGTCTGCCGAGATGAATACATTGATAATTAACATCAGTGTAAAATGAAAAAGGAATATCGCGCGTAAACATTCAGAAAGACACTGGGGTGCAGTGAGCGTTGATGTAAGGCGTGAAAAAAGTTAAATATGGTCGCTCACTTAGGTCCGTTTGATACATTAGTCCTGTTGAAAACATGCTTGGCGTAATCCACAACAGAGGAGCTTAGGTAACAAAATGTTGGGAGCTGAGAGCAACATCTAATCGTTTTTTGAAAACATCCAGGGTCGGAGAGGATACTACTGAGTCTGGGAGTGCGTTCCATGGTTTGCAAACCCGAAGAGAAAAGTAACTCCGTCGACACTCTAGACGACTACATTGTTCCTTCAACTTTAAGCAGTTACCCCTGAGCTGCGTGTTGTGGCTAAGTTTCAGCAACTGGCGGCATACGTGGTTGGGGTCACTCAATATCTGATAAGCTAATATGGGATCGCCACGCAGCCTTCGATAACGTCCGCTGAAAATTCCCAGCATCTTCAGCCTTCGGTGGTAAGAGTGATAGCGCAGGCCCTTCACATTTTTTGTTGCTCTCCGTTGTGGTGCCTCTATCGCTTCTAGGTCGCGTTTCAACCAAGGTTGCCAATCTTGGATTGCGTACTCAACATGCGGACACACGTAGGAATTGAGCATCATTGGGGAGATTGATGGGTCGAATCTCCCGAATGCCCTTCGCAGCATGCCGACGTGCTGGTTGCCTCTTTTGGCAGCTACCTCAGCCTGTTTTGAGCAGTTGAGGTCGCTCTGGCTGGCTAGCCGAACATGGCTGGCTAGCCGAACAACCACCTCGTGGTGCCAGCTGGGTGGTTCGGGTAAATCCCTTTCCAGCAAATGGTTCGGCGGCAGTGTTCCAGGATGTGGTGGGATTTCGCCTGGCAAGCGTCCTCCTTATAAAAAGCCACAAGTATCCGTTTAACAACACTGTGACGTGGCGGATGTGACTCGCCACTAAATAAAGTCACTGCCTCTTCCCTTTTCCGGAGGATCATTCACACCTCACTGACGTCATTTGATTCAAAGCGTCCCATTGATTCCCCCTTTGATGGCGAACACAACAAACAAAAGCACAGAAAGTCACCTTTTTACCTACTCACACAACATGTCCCCCTTCCAAATACACAGTTAAACTTAGTTTTACATCTCAACACGCACATAAATTCCCATGCTATTGGTCACAATGTACTAATTTGTGTACTTGTTCATCATATATGTCTGTACTACCATGATCACACCCTTGATGGTGTGCCTCGCAGTGACGAGAATAAACTATTTATTTATTTATTTATTTATTTATCACACCAAGATCACGTTCCTGGGAGCTATTCTGCAATTTGTTTGTCCTAAGTATGTAGGTGTAGTTATGTCTATGGCGTAATTGTACTACGCGACATTTGTCTACGTTGAACGGTACAGCGTTTTGAACTGACCAGTTCGACACTGTGTTAAGATCGCACTGGAGCCGTTCATGGTCATCCGGTCCTCTGATCCTTCGCCGTATCTTGATATCATCAGCGAAAAATAAGAAATCGGAGGTAATTGATCTCGCCAAATCGTTAATGAACACCAAGAATAGACGAGGTCCAAGAACCGAGCCTTGTGGTACTCCACACGTCACGTCGATTGCATGAGAAAATGATTCTCGGACTCGCACCACTAGCCGTCGTTCTTGTAGAAAATTGCTAATCCAACTCAGGAGCAGGTCGCTAATGCCGTAGTTCCGAAGCTTCTGAAGGAGAACTCGATGGTCTAAACGATCAAACGCTTTTGAAAAGTCCAGGTAAATGACATCGACTCCAACTCCATCATCAACAGCTTCAGTCCAGCTATTACGTGCAATTAATAGGGTAGTATTACACGAATGCTTTTGACGAAAGCCATGTTGCTCTGGGGCTATTAAATTGTGGCTTTCCATGTATTCCATCAGCGCGTCTGCGACGATTGATTCCATCACTTCGGATAGTACTGGAAGTAGAGTTATTGAACCGTAGTTTGCAGGATTAGTGCGGCTACCTCCTTTATGGATAGGAGTGATGACCCCTTGCTTCCATACTGGTGGAATAAGGTTTTCCTCTAGACATCGCTGATAGAAAACAGCCAGTGGTTCTGCTAGATCACTAGCTACCGCCTGTAGAGCCTTTGGTCGGATGTTATCAGCTCCGGGAGAACTGTGGATACGCAAGGATAACAACTTCTTCAACACAGCCTCCGTAGTGAAGGTGATGTTTTCTAAACCAGATGGTGGAGTATTAGAAATGAGGTGAATGTTTGGGCTCGACACTTGTTGGAGCGTTTGGGAGTAATGAGGCCGTAGGAGATCAGCTGCTTCCATTGCTGACCGCGTGTATCCATCAGCCGTGACTAGCGCCGGAACCCCTCGCTTTACCTCTCGCAGGCCGTTAATGTGCCTGTACAGGAGTTCGTGGTTAGTGCAGAATCGCTTCATTAACTTCTGCTGATGCGTGACCATGTCTTCGCGGATCAGTTTCACACAGAAGTTACGATGTGTCACGTATGCAGTCCAGGTTTCGGCATTCGGGCAACCCTGGTGATTTCGCCATGCCAAATCCCTCCGGGGCATACATTTACGTGTTCTGCTCCTCAGAAATGACTTACTCTGGTTTTTGGGTTGGAAGGACTTCTGTTCCGATGCTTGCGCTACCAGTGTGCTCAAAGTCCTTGTAAACATATCCCAGGCCAGAGCTGGGGGTATTCGATTAAGAAAGTCCAAGATGTATCCTTAACAAGCTTGGACAACACATTGTAGTGCGTGACAGTGTGCACTTTATCCTCCTCCTTTTCCGGGTACTCGGCATAGCATATATAATCAAAGAGTAGAGTGACATGATCACTACGACCCAGTGGTGTGCTTGTAAATATCCCGCCAACCATGAGTTCTTCGTTAGTGAGCACAAGTTCCAGTTTCGACGGCTTGTTAGAAGTTCGAAATCTGGTGGGAGAGGTTACGTGGTTGTAAAGAGGGTGGCTAGCAATAAGTTCTTGCAAACAGGCTTTAAACTGCCTACCGTCAGTTGCCGGCGTTTCTATGTCGTGCCAACGCATCCTGAGACCGACACCTCGCCTCAAGTGAGAAACCTTCTACGTTCTGAAACACCTCTCCCCATGGAGGACCGAGTCCGAATGAACAAGACAAGCTGACTGCGAGCTGCGAACTCGACGCGCAAATGGAGATACAGAGCTACACATAGTGGATTTTCGCGTAGTCAAGAAAACTCAGAGAGCTCGATGGAGGCCAATCCTCCTTCTTCCAGGACCTCAAACATAAAGAACGGACTACGGTTAATACTCGCGAATTTGCGCAGGCTCAGAAACAAGCTAGATGAGATTCCACTCCTTATCTCTGAACAGCAACCGGACCTAATGGCGTTCACCGAAGCCTGGCTTTCATCTGACATATCTGACTTGGAGGTTCATGTTTCAGGATATCAGCTACCTCGATGCGATCGCTTTGGTGGGAGGTCTGGAGGCGGAGTAATCCTCTACACAAAGAACCACCTCAAGGCCCATATTGTCGAACCCGATTGTGACAAGGATGATATGTCGGAAATGCTCTGGTGCCGAATTCATGACGGATACCCATCGCTGATGGTCGGGGTGGTCTACAGAGCCCCTGCAGCACCTGGCTCACACTTACTACATTCCGTGCGAACCAACAGCAGAGGAACAAATTGTCTCCTTATGGGGGACTTCAACGCCCCCAACGTAATCTGGGACCTACTTCACAGTGATCT